TATCAATTGTGTAATTTACTTATGTCCACAGAGGTTTGTAAAAAGCACAGCAAGCCTCGGCTACACTCCATGGCATTTCTTATCTTTCCGTCAAAGTCATTCTTCCAGTCTGAATCTTCCTAACCAAGGTTGGTAGGGAGAAAAGAAGACCAGGGGCAGGGAGCCAGCGGCACTACTACTCAGGTTCTGTTGCAGCTCTGCAGCAGAAAGAAGCGGCCCAAGGGAGGAGGACTCAAGGTGCTTTGGGGCCCATTGTAAATAGGGTTCCCAGGGGAAGGCTTCTCCTCCCCTCTGCAGTTCCCCTCTCTCACTGTTGGCTGTCTCCAGAGTGCCTCAGAAATGTATTCCAATACCTCTGTCCAGACAAAAGGATCATTATTGGTCTTTGCTCAGGCTTCAGTTGCTTGTCGGCTTACCCTCTTAGAGTTACATTTTCCCAGAGACTGTAGACAGGGATTCTCCTTTTCTCACTTTTCTGATTCCCTATGCAACCCATTCTCTCCTGGTTTAGCCTATCGGCTGGCAGGCATAATCAGTTCTCTGATGGTTTCTGGGGGCCTCCCAGTGGCCATTCCTGGGTCGGCACCCCTCCTAGCCTCTTCTGACTCGGACACTCCCAGTGTGGTTCCATCGTCCTGCTTTCTTGCTTTCTTCCGGTTCACAGATGGAAACTCTTTCCAAAGCTCTGATCCCAATTTGTTCTATGATTTCTCTTGCTTAGTTATTTCCTCCATTTTCGTGGGTTCAATTTACTGTTGATGACTCCCACATTGGTTCTGACCTCTCCACCACAACTCCCTGCTCTTGCTGGATATTTTCACACTGATAATTCTGACAGTTCCATCTCAATGGGTCTATGACAGTTTGTCATTTTTCTTTCCCAAACAGTTTATATACCTTAGCTCAAAATTGGAGTCATCTTCAATTCCCCCTGTGCTCAGCACAGGGTGAAAAGTTTTCCCCTTTCTGATATTTCTGCCTGACCCATAAATTAGAAACTCTGTTACGACTTGCTACCTCTAAGGAAGTACTGTGGAAGATGTTTCTGCCATCCTATCAAAGTCATCACTCACTGTTAGCTTTGGGAGGTGGGAAGACTTGGTAACAGGGAACCTGGGGAGGGCTTGCTGGTCTCTGACATCTGGCAGAGCAGATGACTAAAGGTTCCTTCTCATACATGACTCTGTCTCCCCCCACCCCATTAACTTTATTGGTACATTTTAGGTATAAAATACAGTTACATTCATCATTGGGATCTTGTACCTTTACATGAGTCTCTTGGTTCTTATTTTTTTTCCCCCTTCCCTTGCCCTCCCTTCACTCCATCCACCCTTCCCTATTTGCAAAGACCTTGTTTCCATTTTTTTCCTCTTCTCATATTTTTCCTTTCCCTTTTTTCCCTTCTCCTACCCCTCCTAATTACCCTCTTTCAGACCTTTCCTTCCTGTTACACAGTATCAGTTATACACTTTTTAAATTACAATATTAAGATCTAGGAGACATTACCCCAGATTTTACAGAATTTAAAAGGATACAGAAAGCATATTACACTTTTTTCTTCTATTATCTTTATCCAGTTTTAGGATTAGCACAATGTTGAGTTCCTAAAATGAGGGGAGAAGTGTTCCTTCTTTCTTCTGCTTTGTTTGCTATAATTTATCAGTTAAAATGTTTATGAGCCTGCTGTTGTCATATAGGTAGGTTTTCAAGCTAGGAATATACTTTAATAGGTGTTATTTAGATTTTATATTTCCTCCAGAGTTAGTTTCATTAATTTGTCTTCCAAGGTACTTCTTGGAGGTTGTCAAATTTATTTCAAAACAGATTTTTGTAACATGACCCTGTCTTTTGCCGGCTCACATTCAGTGTTCTACTGACTGGGAGGCGTCAGGCTCCTAGCCTCCAGTTTCGGTGAAGCAATTGGTAGAGGCCAGTTCTCTCCTGCCCCTGTCCTTCAGCTGTGCCAGCTGGGCATACTGAGTTGGGGGAAGATGGCCCATTTCGGCCTTGAGACAAGCTGTATTCTTTAATCTGACCTTACCCGAATAATGTTAGTATTTTAACATCTTTTTGGGTGTGTATTCTCAGTTTGGTTAAGAATTCAGAGACAAGAAGGGCTGTGTGCTGGGTCACCTCCTACACATGTGACATCACGCTCTCCTAGTTATTTCCCTAGCTCCACTGTCTGCTCTTGGGTGACAATGCTAGCTTATTTCATAAAAAGCCAGCAAATCATATACACTCTTCTGTTATGATTTTTTATTTCTTGGTATGAGAAATTATGGTTATAGACCTTCCTTTTTTTCCCTCTTTTGTCTTTTTAAAAATTTTTTGGTGCTGAAGACCAAACCCAGGGCCTCACGCTTGCTAGACAAGCCTACCACTGAGCTAAATGCCCAGCCCCTATAGACCTTCCTTTTTGATCTCTATCTCTAAACTTTAAATTTTTTTGTGACTTTTATACAAAAAATGAAAAAAGGTATAAAACCTTTCAGGAAGAAAAAGGTACAAATTCTACTAAATTAACTTCCAAAAAGGACCAGTGGGCTGATTTAATATTTATTGATTTCACAATGCATCAGGCACCACATAAACACACAGCAAAAAGGAGCTAATAACATGCCACTATTTGGAAAAGGAAATGATAAATTAGAAGTAAATCAGAAAAAATAACGAGAACCAAAATTTCAATTCTTCCAAGTATTTGGTTTGTTCACTGTAGTATTCTTAGGGTAACTGACACAAAAACCAGAAATGGATGCATTTAAGAAGTATCTACAATCCTGTTGCCTGGTAGCTAAGCATTTGCTGCCAACAGAAATAAATGATCTTCTGGGTGCACTTGAAGCTTATAAATGGCTGCACCAGGACTCAGGATGATAACCGAGCCAAAGTTACAGCTCAGAGAACCATGATTGCTATTTAGTTGCTTTTTGTTGTTAAAAATGCAGAGTTTAGGGTAAACTGGTTACTGTGCTGTGTCTCTGGTCTTAGACTTGTTTCTGTTCAAGGATAATTAAGCCATTCCAGTTCACTCGCAATTTTAGTCAATTTAATCAAGAAGCAAAGAGACGATCTTTCCAAATTCTGTTATCTCTGTCTTAGGTTTGCCAAAGGTTGATGCAGTTGGTTTTAAATCACTGCACCACGCTAACGTTCAGTGAGCGCTTTTCTCAGGGGCCACACACTTCAGGCTCTCAGGCTGCTCTTCAACAATGCCGCATAATGGACAGGGACACAGCTCCTCAAGCAGCGGGCTGCGGTATCAGGAAACCTCCAGCCCTGTGCCTGTGATGCAGAGCTACCTGTCAACCCTCTGGCGCCCAGGATCTATGCAGGCTCTCCCAGCACGCAGAGCAGCTACAATGACAAGATCCCCTCTACACCCTGCCACCTTCCATGCTGACAACTGAACGAGTGACAGGCAACAAACAGTACAACAGTTTCAGTGTTTGAGCAAACCAGCTGCAAATAAGAAATCCATTGTATTCCCCGTGCATGACTCTGACCTTGAAGAGACTGCTTTAGGAAACACCTTTCTTACACCTGGAACTATGTCGCCAGCTTTCAGAACGAACATCAACTGTTAAGCTTAGGGTAGTAGGGTTAAGTTCAGGGTAGTTAGAAAACCACACTGATGGTGAGATCCCTACAGACGCGTAAACCCAGTATTCAGATGAAGTAACTGCTTTCAGAGTTTTACATATTATTTTTATGATGTTTTCTTTAGACTCTTAAATATTCCGAATGAATCCAACCTAATTACTAGAAACTTCACAGATACAGTAGGGTGTTGTCACTACAACTGCAGTTTTCTCCAGCAAGTAAAGGGACCACAACCAACCATCTGCCCCAGACAGGGACACCCGGAGCTCGGCAGGCACTGGCCCGCCCAGGCCGCAGGATGCCGCAGAGCGACTGCCGTCGGCGCCGCCTTCCGGCCGCAGGAAGGCTCCGCGGGCTCCACCCAGACCTCCGGCGTGGGTGCTGCACCAGCGACCACAGTTAAAAGTCCGGGACACCAACTGCAACGCGTCTTGCCGCAGCAGAAATGTGGGGTGGGGCCGCGGGGACGAAGGAGCACGACTGCCTAGCACGGCCGCACAATTTCTCCTCGAAACACTTGCACGCCGACCCCTAGCTCCTTCATCCGCCAGGTCCCCACCTCTCAGGCGTCGCCCCCCCTTCAAAGGCACTACCGGTCAGGGTTCGCGGTAGCGCCCGGGCGGCAGAGGCTCCGAGGTGCCCTTTTCTTGGCGGCGGCCGAAGAGCACCGAGTCTGGGGCGGAGCGGCGGGCGTCTACAGAGGGGTCCGGGAAGGGTCCCCGTCCCCAGGGAAGGCCCCGAAATGCTCACCGGCTGCCTCCTCCGAAGCCCCGTCTCGGGCGGCAGGGGCGGGGCGCGAGCGCCCCCTGACGTCGGGCGCCCCGCAGCTCGGCTGCGGGAGCGGGACAGGTGCACGCACGCGCCCGGCGCGCGGGCCCCGCGGCGGGCGG